TCCAGCAACATCCAGAACAGACCCAAGAACTCAAGACTAACTACACCCAAAGAGTGTTGGGCCACAGGAAAGTAGCCCGTCTCCAAAACGCCAAGGTGGTATTTAATTGGAGGATAGAAGAAATAAATTAGAACAGGAAGAAGAGTAGGTGGAAAGCATAGGTCCAGCAGCAAGAACTATAGACACTATTTAAACTAAGGTTGAGAGTAGGAAGAAGAACGACTGGGAGAAAGTAGACAGTAAGAGGAGGGAGATAAAGTTTAGGGTTTAAGGTGGGAAAAAAAGAAAAGAACACCCCAATCTTGGCGGTGTCATAAAAAATGGTGGACAGGTGGTCCTCGTCACCTCATCAAGGCGGGTGTATTTCAATCCAATCAAGCTGCATAGCTCCATGAATTCCTCCTTCTCCATCTGCAGGTGTTCCAAAAGAGAAACACAGGGAAAGCAGATAAGTTGTGCATATCAGAACAGACAAACTTGCACTGCAGTTAAAGTTTTCTGCCTTTGCAGTTACGAGATACTGCCTTCGACGGCACATCCTTATTTTTTTTTTTTTTTATAAATCCAAGGGCACATCCTAAAGTTGGACGTTTGCATGAAAAATAGGGCAGTTTCCTCATAGTTTCGTTTACGAATTTCCAGAATCTGAAGTACTTCCACCCATCGTCTCACTTACACACTTGATTGTGACTCCACATAAAATGGGAATTGAACATTCACATCCAAAATAGTGCAAGAAAAATGAGCAATAGCGAGATGACAGTATCCAGATTGCACAATCACATCGAAAGCCAGAAATTCCCACAGTGTCCAGAAAGCAGCATTCCACCAATATGCAACAACCCATGTTGTATGCCTCGTGGAAACTGAGGGCCTCGCCAGGCCACACCCAGGCCCAGGCCAAAAACGGGGAAGAGACCCCAGTTAAAGATTCAGGGCCTGAGCGAGGTACAGTTGACAAAAGTCAGCTGTCAGAGACCCCAACATTCAAAGTCAAAGTGCACCCATCCCAGTCCGTCGGTCAGACACACACATTTGTTTGTATGCAGGTACCCATACAGCATCAGGTCCAAAGGGAAGTCTGCAACTGTACATAATCCAGGCCCTCGGCTGTGATTCAATCTGAACGACTGTGAGGAGGGGACCCGAGGCCAGACAGCCTCGTCAAACACTGCAAATGGACTGGTCTCGAGGTGGTGAACATTCAGTCTTGCCATGCTGCTCTGGCTGGTCGCTGGCATTGACGCTGGCATGACGCTGGCGAGACGCTGGCTCGACACTGGCTGTGCGCAGGCACTGTGGACGACGAAGCGGGACTGTGGCAGCATGCTGGTGCTGTCACCTGTCTACCTGCCGATGTGGCGCATGCCACTGGTCTACATTGCTGATGTGGCCCATGCCACAGGTCTACATTGATGATGTGGCGCATGCCACTTGTCTGCATTGCTGATGTGGCGCTTGCCACTTATATACATTTCTGATGTGGTGCTGCCACCTGTCTTCATTGGTGATGTGGCGCATTCCACCTGTCTCTATATCTGACGTGGCATAGGCCACGCTGTCTACATGAGGTGACTGGTTGCGACAAGGAGAAAGATCGGGATCTGTGGAAGATTGGGATCGGGTACTCACCTGAGGTTGACGTCGTTACTATATTCTGCTGTTGTCTTCATGGTCTTCACGAGTTAAGATTGCCATGTGGCACTTCAGTGTGATCAGAACTTATCAGACTTGTTACTATTACTGATTGATGGCGTGGAGGGAGAAGAAGCCCGGAGAAGGAGTGGGATTGGTTGGGCTATTATCGTGTGGTCTTTGATTATCACTTCCACCTTCTCCCTTGTCTATCCTCCCTCCACTCTCTTCATCTATTGGTAACGAGATACTGTTTCGAATATCACTTCACGATAACTGGAGACTTTGCGCAGAACTGGGACTACTGTGGTTTGACGTCTGATGAGTATCTGCCAGACTGGGTTCATTACAATTTGGTAACGGAGCACACTCCTTCATCGCAATCTGCTGTCAGGTGCTGACGTGGCACCCAGGTAAGTGGGAGGTGCCACATGTGCAAAACAAAACGCGTTCATTAACGCGCGCGGTAAATACCGCAAGTCGAGACATTGCAGTATTTCATATGCGTGCAGCCTCCCTCGAGGATGATGACGTGGTTGCACTGAAGACTTTGGGATACTGGCGAGAGCTTCGTTGGCGACAGGCTGACGTGGCACCGGTCAAGAGAAAGATCGGGACTGCTGATGTGGCGCATTGATTGTGGCAGGGCATGGTCTGACGTGGCACGTACCTGTGCTGTGATTGCCTGCTGCTGAAGCGCTGCATGCTTACCAGTGTTGAGTGTGAAGCAGACATGCACTGCTGACGTGGCATCCCCCTTCTCGTAGACCTTTTGGTCCTTGACACTCACATGGCAGTTCGCTGCGTTGGCATGCCAGGGGTGACACGTCCCATGCATACGCGCTGCTGAGGGTGAAGTGTTGAGTATGCACTTGTGTGCTGGCCGATGGTACAGCTTCACGCTTTGCTGTAGTGTCGCGTGCTGGCCTTCATTGGTTGCATTGCTTCTGCAGGTGGTACAGGCATAGGAGAGGAAAGCTAACCATTGATTGTGTTGTTGTGTTGGCTGACTCACTTACCTGTGGTTGCTCTGTGGTTGCTTTATACTCACGAGTGTGCTGTTGTCTTGATTACAATGGCCGTGGCTGCGGTACCCGTAAACTTGCTGTGGAACGTCATCACACATAGATTAGACAGCTGAAGTTTTTTTTATGATTTATTTATTTATGCAAGGCCAGTGCCTCTATGAGCCCCATAAGGCCCCAATTTGCAGCCCGTCGGCCACCCTAAGTGAAGGCAGGCTCGACGAGGCCCTCAGGGCCCTTTTTTTGGCCACTACGCAACTCAGGGAAATTCAGGCAGTTGCGCAGCGCCAGTTGGTTGAGTGAACCCAGGCCCTGGGCCGCCTGTGTGAATGTATGTGAAGCAGGCCCTGGGCTGGATACGGGTATCGGGCCAAACACAGGCCGAAAGCAGTTTGGCACATGCAACCACTTCAGGCCCAAGGCCTGCTCTCAGCGTGCTGGGCCTCAGGCTACCGGGGCCTACTGGAAGCTTCCTGGCACTGGACGCAGGCAGGCCACTTCGATATAGGAAAGGGCCTGCCTCCTCATTCGGCATTCGGGTGCTGGCTGCATGCTGCGCAAGCGCTGCTGCGCTATTTGCTGGCTGGCGCCTACGCTCTCACGGGCGAGCAGGGAAGGAGCACACAGCCATAGCCGAGCTGCGCTGCTGTAAGATGGGTGAGGCGCAGGGTGATCCTTGGGTGCTAGTGGCATCTGTGAGTTGGGGAACGAGGTTGTGAGTGTAGCGCGAGACATACCTGGTGCTGGAAGCGTGCGACATTGGTCGCCATATGCTCGTACTTCGGGAATGCTGGTGACGTCATCTTTCGGCTTCGTAGTATAGGCTAGATAGGATCTGCCACATGTAGTCTGGGCGCCGCGAGCCAGGTAGGATATCAACTCTGGTTCTTCATTGATGATGATGGGACTATTTCTGCATTGTCAATTATGAACTCTTGGTGTGTTCTTATTTGGTGAACCTCGTGATGCAATTCTGCTGTTGGTTCGAGGTCAAGACTATCTGGACTCATATGTACGATGCTGTTTGATTGCTGAAGTTCGCTATTGCTCATCTTCCTTGCAATTTGGTATCAGAGCTGTGGTACGATTGCGCTCATCTGGCGCTTGTCTTCTGCCTTACGCGGTACATACATGCGGTCTGCTGGGCGAGTTTGGCCGTAAGTGGTGTGTAGCGAGGAGGGTGGAGACGAGTGTGWAGGCGACCCAGGAGGTGAGGGGATCGCCAGGAGGGCTACATGAGGTAATGTGGTCTGGACAGTGTGATGAGAACTATCTATTGTGCGATTGATGCTGAGGTGGAACGGCGAGATAATGTTGGTTGTGCCGATGCAGTGACTGGTCATCGCAATCGCCATTTGGTCATCTGGTGAGATTATCTCTGTGGTTGGGGGCAGCTTGAATGAGGTATGTTGCTCTTAACCTTATCTACCCTCTTCATCACTTCTTACCGTGAGGTTGTGTGTTCCTTCTTGAGAGCCCTCTCATCGTGAGGTGTCGAGTGCGCTCAACCTTGAGAGTCGGCAATGTTCACGTGGAGCATCTGGGTGGAGATGGGCAGAGCTTTCTGAAGGGCCCTGGACGAAGCACTGGGTCACGGTCACCATGCCAACCCACAGGGAGTAGAGCACGCATGCCTTGCTGCTTGTCCTTTGTTCGGCTTCTTGCGTTGTTAGATGGGTACTACTGGGCAGGCCAGCCCTACACGAAAGACGAGCACCCGGTGTCTATAAATAAACACGGGAAGGGGATATCACTGGCTGTGATCGTCGTCCTGCTGCGACGTAAAATGATTCCTGATGTCACTTGGGGGCGGACGTTAAAATGAATCTGGATCAGCCAGTGATGTAAGGCTCGCGGCACGCCGAGGATAAATATACGTGCAAGGCTGGCCAGCTCAGCAGATACTCGAGGCACAGGGGTGGGCCGGACACACACCTTTAGACACGCGACGCTCTCCAGATCGCTCAGGGACGCTGACGTCAAGTGATACTCAGGGGAACTAAGGGAGGGGTTGATTCCAGGTGATAAGTTCGAGAAAATTCCATGCTGTCCTATCCACACAAATGATTATGTTTTTATGTTTTGATTAGTTAGGTGTACAGCCATTGACATCTGACAGACATCATTAGTTAGAACTGATTATTGTTCCTGGTGCTTCTGTTTGCGGACTAATCAGACTAAAAATAGTTTCGTTTGTAGGAATCTGACTTACCTGTTGACCTCAAGTGATATCTGTTCCAAAATAGCCACCAACTCATTAGTTGGTCTGAGCATTATGTTGCGGTAGGCACCTAGAGCGTCCCAGTGTAGACGGTGCACAGCGTTGTAGCCTATGAGCGACCAGGAGGACACACACTTGGACGACCGGATCTTGCGATCAGCTAGACGGCAGATAGCCCACGTGTCCCTAGGACCGGAGGGTGATAGGATTATGTTCCGCCAGCTTAGGGAGAGACAGCAGCAGTAGAGGAGAGCTAGAGCAACCGAGGCCAGCAGGGCTTTAGTTCGCGAGGCCGGTGCTACAGCAGCCATGGCTACTTCCGCCATGGTCACTTCTGCGCAGCAGACTTCCCAAGCCAGCAGTTCAGGTGTCGTCGGGTCAACGGTCGCGCAGTCCGTGAGTCAGTCCACTGGCATTATGGCAAGCCAGGTAGCAGTGTTGACTCTAGAGGATGTCGCCATCCAGCAGGCAGCCCTGCAGGAGGCACAGCTACAACGGGCATTAGGAGATATAAAAGCGGAGAAGGAGAAGATGATCAGAAGAAGAGCCAGGATGCAGCGGAGAGGGGCAGACATAGAGGACGATGGACCTGACGAACAGGATGATGATGTGAGGGCAGTTAGGAGGGCCCTGCTAGGCGTAATAGAGATGCAGGAGCATCAAACTACCATCCTTCAGGATATCCAACAGAGCCTAGACATTCTGGCAGGCTGTGCTCAGGCAGCACCATCACCAACCGGGCCTGGTGCCTGGCCCGTGCCATATCCTCCTTTTTCTGTCCCACCGGTGACAGGGGTATCCCCATATGTAGCCCCGTCATCGATTGCTATCGTTTCCTTGGGCATGCCGCTGTCAGGAGGGGTAACAACAGGGAGTAGTTTACAGGTTCCTTTTCAGACAGTGTACACCCAAACTCCGTCGCAGGTTGCAGTCACCACGCAGCCTGCTGTCTCGCAGATTGTGCAGCCTCACGACACGCAGCCTCAACAGCTAGCACAGCAACCTGTGTCACCGGGTCCACAGCCCAGAATGGTGCAGGGACCGGGACAAACTCAGTGGGTACCAAAGACGGCCATCGCCACTCCCAAACCTTTTACAGGGGACAAGAGAGGCGAAGACCTCGACACATGGTTGAGGTCAGTGCCAGTCTATGTCAGGTGCAAACTTACCTTGCCGCACGAAGAAGTGCTTGTGGCTGCATCTTACCTAAAGGGTAGTGCAGCAAGATGGTTGAGCGGTTTAGTGCAGCTCCAGGGATATGGTCATGACTTCCGCGCTTGGGCAGCCACCCAGAAACTGGATGACTTCTTGAAGATGGTGGAGGAGAGGTGGCACGATCCTCAGGAGGCTCAAAGGGCCACTGATGCGATCCTGATACTGCACACGAGGCAGTTTAAGTCAGTAAGAGAAGCCACCGACGATGTTGAGCATCTGATCTGTGTCCCAGGGGTGCGCTATGACCCCCAGGTCCTACTGACTTCGTACTTGAGATGCTTTTCTCAGCCTCTCAGGAACAAGTTGGCAAAAGAGGCCAACATCAATATGCACAACTTTCCTTCGTTTAGTAAGGTGGCCCTAGACCTTGAAGCTAAGATAGGGCATGGACAGGCACCCACCTCCGGATGGGAGGAAGAAGACACTGCCTCCTAACTCGAAGGCGAAAGGTCGCTTGATGTTTGTCGACAACGATGGTTCAACCATCGAGTTGGACGGCAACTTCGAGGAGGGAGTAGGTTCAGAGGCAGGCAGCATAGATGCTTCAGAGGGTGGAGTAGTCGCTGCTGTTTCTCAAAAAGGAAAGGCGACCGGTAGACGCCGCGGAGACTCCCGGTCTAGGTGTCAAGTTGACCCCAACGCTCCTCCATGGGAGAAGACGGGTCTCACTTAGGACGTGTGGAGAGACCGTTACTCTCGGCAGGCCTGTATTCGTTGTGGTCAATATGGCCACAACCAATTCAAGTGCCGCAACAAGAAGGTAACCGAAAAGATCCCGCCTACGATGGGGCAAGTGTTGGGATCCTCTCAACCCGTTGGTAGCAACGTTGCCAGTACTTCAGGCAATGCTCCGGGAAACACGTCGGGCCAGTAGGAATTGTAGTTGTTACTGCTAGGGTCGAGGTGGTGGAGACACCCTCACCATCTCGAGAGATGGCCCAAGCTACTGACTCCAGCGTCGTCCCGCAAGCACATTCAGACCCATCGAGCCTCTGTTCGATGAATGTGTTTAAGTCCTTAGAGGAGCTAGACGTGGAGTGGTCTAGATCAGCCTCGTTAGCTTCTTGGACGGCACTAGTCAAAGCCCCGAAGGGTGAGATGTTCGTCAGCGACGTAGTCATTGGTGGTCGCAAGGCCGGCGCCTATTATGACACTTGCTCGACTAGGAACTTTATCAGTCGCGCGTGCGTTGAGAGGCTGCGTTTACAGGGGCGAGTGCAGCGTCTGAGTCGACCTGTGGAGTCGACCTGTGCCAACAAACAGCGCATGGTAGTCAATGACTACCTCGAGGATGTTGAGTGTTGTTTCCCGTACGCTTGAGGGGACTTGAGACATCGTGTCTCGTTCCTAGTAAGTGACGAGCTCCCAATGGATATGTTACTAGGTATGTACTACCTCTCTATGGCACAACCCCAGTTTGACTGGGACCGAAAAGTGGTCAAACACACTTTGCCAGGTGGAGGGACCGCCAGATTACATAAGTTCAAAGCTAGTAGTCTGATTGAGTCGTATGGGTGCATGTGTGCGGCCGCGTTCTACAATTATTATAAGCAAAATCAGGACGAGGGTATGTATTTAGTTTATGTCTCTGCTGCAGGCGAGCCGGTGAAAATGTCGCCGGAGATAGAGGGAGTAGTTGCTAAGTACCCTGATCTTTTTTTAAGAGTCAACAGGGGTTGTTGAGAGGGAGGTTGTCCATGCAATAGAGATTATCCCAGGGTCTAGTATCCCGAAGGGTAGGATCTATCGGATGTCTCCAGGCGAGCTTGATGAGCTTCGCCACCAACTCAAGCGTAGAGAAGGGTTGGATCCGGCCGAGTGTCTCTCCTTATGGGTCTCTAGTTTTATTTGTATCTAAGAAGAAGGAGGGTACTCTTCGGATGTGCATTGATTATAAGGGCCTCAATGCCATCACTGTAAAAAATATTGCGTTTGGCCGCACTCGTGTCTTGTACTTGGGTCATGAGATCTCCGCGGAAGGGTTGAATCCCGATGACGCGAAGGTGGCCAGCATTCGTGATTGGCCACGTCCTCAGTCTGTGACTGAGATGAGATCTTTCTTAGGAATGACCGACTACTATAGGACTTTCGTTAAGAACTATAGCATAGTGGCCGCACCTTTGACTGATCTGACCCGCCTTGACACCCCATGGGAGTGGACAGACGAGTGTGAGGCTGCTTTCACACATCTGAAGCATGCGTTGACGCACTACGAGGTCTTGAAACTTCCTGATCCTGACAAGCCGTTTATAGTCACCACGGATGCCAGCCAATATGGCATTGGCGCCGTGCTCGCGCAACAGGAGAGGCCAAAGTTGAGGCCAATCGAGTACATGTCGAAAAAGATGTCGTCTCAAAAGTTGCCAAAGTCCACCTACGAGAAGGAGCTGTACGTCGTGTACAAGGCTCTGACCCATTGGAGACACTATCTCCTTGGGAGGTTCTTCATCCTCAGGACTGATCATCAGACCTTGAGATGGATGAGAACTCAGCCCGTACTTTCTGACGCCCTGAAGCGTTGGATCGAAGTCATTGAGCAGTATGACTTCGACCCCCAGTACCTCAAAGGGGAGTACAACAAGGTGGCTGATGCCTTGTCGCGTAGACCTGACTTTTCAGGTGCGCTGATTACTGAGTTCGATCTCACGGATGATGTTACTCACTGTTTGGTGGAAGCCTATCGCGAGGATCAGTTTATGTTTGAGATCATACGCAGACTCTAGGCAAAGGACAAGAAGACCTCTGCCGAGTTTGAGTTGGTCAATGGCTTGCTGTTCCTTGAGAAGGACGGGAATAAACGATTGTGTGTCCCAAGTAGCGAGTCTTTGCGTAGTTTGTTTTTAGGTGAGTGTCATGATGCCACCGGTCATTTTGGATGTAAGAAGACCGCAGCCAATCTGCTGCAGCGGTTCTGGTGGCCCACGATGATGCGAGACGCCGAGCTGCAGCGGTTCTGGTGGCCCACGATGATGCGAGACGCCTCGCTGTACGTGGAGACTTGTCAGGTATGTCAAAGAGACAAGCCCTGTACTCAGGCTCCTCTTGGGCTCCTGAAGCCCCTTCCGATTCCGGAACGGCCTGGTGAGAGTCTGTCCATGGACTTCATGGATACTCTGATCACCAGCAAGAGTGGGATGCGGCACATCTTCGTCATCGTGGATAGATTTAGCAAGTATGCTAGGTTAGTGGCAATGTCGGAAACAGCCAGAACGGAGTATGTGATCAGAATGTTTAAACAGAACTGGGTCAGGGACTTTGGATTACCGAAGTCTATTATTAGTGACAGGGATGTCCGTTTCACCAGCGAGTTGTGGAAGGCCGCTGCTGCAGAGCAAGGAACTCAGTTGCAGATGACTTCTGGGAATCACCCAGAGGCCAACGGTCAGGCTGAGCAACTGAACCGCGTTGTACAACACCTGTTGAGGCATTACATCGAGCCCAACCAGGTGGACTGGGATGAGAAGCTTGCTCTCATCGCCAGCTTGTACAACAACGCTGTACACAGCGCCACCGGGGTGAGCCCAAACAGCTTACTGCTAACATTCAAGCCTAGACTGCCACTAGACTTTCTTCTTCCTGAGAATCAAACCACTGCTGCACCAGGTACCTTGGAATTTGCTTACCGTTATGAACAGAAGATGCAGCAGGCTGTAGAACAGATGCAGAAGGCGCAGGCTGCAATGATAGAGTCTGAAAATAGACACCGCCGGCCTTCTACATTTTAGGTTGGGGATAGGGTCTGGGTTAAGTCGTCAAAACTGGGACAGGAGCACGGGATCTCCCGCAAACTCATGCCCCAGTACTTTGGACCTTGGGAAGTCTTGGATATCGTTGGGACAGATCCGGATGTGCCATCTTATGTTATCCGGATCCCTGGTCATCTCCGTACTTACCCTGTCTTTCACGCCTCCAAGCTGGCACCTTTCAAAGATACTGATCAGTTTCCATCTCGTCGCTCAATGCTGCCCCCAACCATGTATGGAGAGGTGGACATCGATGATATTGTGGATCACATAGAGCTGCCGGTAGCAAGACCAGCAGGCAGGGGACGTCCTCCGAAACCGAAGCTGCAGTACCGCGTTCGGTTCCGGCATCACACTGATCCAAAGGAGGACCGCTGGCTCACCAGGGAAGAGCTTATGCAGACCGCTCCTCAAGTTGTAACCCAATACGAGGGATCTCTGCAGAAGGGAAAGCGCCCTATGATCGAAGATTGAGCTTCTCAGAGGACTGTTGAAGCTAAAGAGGAAGGAATGCGAGGCCAGTGCCTCTATGAGCCCCATAAGGCCCCAATTTGCAGCCCGTCGGCCGCCCTAAGTGCAGGCAGGCTCGATGAGGCCCTCAGGGCCCTTTTTTTGGCCACTACGCAACTCAGGGAAATTCAGGCAGTTGCGCAGCGCCAGTTGGTTGAGTGAACCCAGGCCCTGGG